TAAGAATTGGAAGACACTCAAAGAATTTAGAGGAACAGGCTAGGAAAAGTCTGAAATGCCTTGAGTGGAACACAGATAGAGATCCTGGTAGGGACTTAGAAGACAAGAAAATCAGGATAAGTTTGGAACTCCACCGAAATTGGTTAAGTATTAGTAACCAGAACGCTGATAGAAATATGGGCAGTAATGGCCCTTCTGGCAAGGTCTCAGGTAGATTGAGGAACAAAGAATTGGAACATAAAGTAAAGGCCATCCGGGTGATAAATGCACAAAGAAACCAGCTGAACCGAGTCTACGCCTGAGGGCTTCCTGGAAGACCAAACTGGCAGTGATGAACAAAGGCATCCTGTAGAAGAAATTTCTGAGCAAAAGATAGAAGGAGCTTCATGGTTACTTTCAGCCTCTTACACCGAGTTTCAAGAGCAAAGGAGATATGTAAAGGCAGAATTTTTTTTTTTTTTTTTTTTTTTTGAGACAGAGCCTCAAGCTATCCCCCTGGGTAGAGTACCATGGCATCACGCTCACAGCAACCTCCAATTCCTGGGCTCAAGCGAGTCTCCAGCCTCAGCCTCCCAAGTAGCTGGGACTACAGGCACCCGCCACAACGCCTGGCCATTTTTTGGTTGCAGCTGTCATTGTTGTTTGGCGGGCCCGGGCTGGGGATTCAAACCCGCCACCTTAGGTGTATGTGGCTGGCGCCTTAGCCGCTTGAGCCACAGGCGCCGAGCCAAGGCAGAATTTTTAACTACAAGGGAAGCAGAACAGAAGGATTTAGAAAATGTTCAGCCTGACTAAGTACAGAGTAAAGACATGTGTTCTAGAGAATAAAAGAGGGGCATAGCCCAGCAAGCATTTAAAGGGCCTACCACAGATAGAAGGGAGCCCGGCGCTGTTGCTGAGACAGTGGAAGAAAGACCACAGGCATTCAGAGATCTTCAAAGCCACCCCTAGAAGTAGAGGCCCAGAGGCAGAGGAGGGCAGAATGGTTTCAGGGGACAGGAGAGGTACATGAGTAGCTGCCCAGGACAATTGTGGACTGTGCTCCCTGCACCTCAACTGTTCCACAGCCACCTCAGCTGAGGTGCAGTAAACCAAACACAGGCAAGGCTCATGCCACAGCTCTAGAAATTACAAGTTATAAATTTTGGCAGCCTCCACCTAGATTTCAATGGCCCCAGAAACCTGCGAGCCTAGACAGAGACTTGTCCCTGGGACAGAGCCAATGGTAAAATGTGGAACCCCAGAGCTGACACAGAGTTGCCATACCTGCCTAGTGGAGCCATGGAATGGGACCACTGCCAAGACCTTAGAACTGAATAGTCACCAGCAGCCACAACATACCCCTGGGAAAGCTTCAGGCACCAGACTCCAAATCATGCCAGCAACCATGTGGGCTACACCCAGCACAACCCTAGGGGTAGTGCTGCTGAGACCTTGGGGGAGCACCTCCTTCCAGGAGTAGCAGGTGTAATTATAAGAGAAACCAATAGGGTTACCTAGCAACTGTTTGCTAAACAGATTAGCACAGATAGCAGGGACCCAGGGAGCAAGGTGCTATTTCTCAAGATATTAGCAAAAAGTCTCCAGAGGAATTTCAGTCATCTTCAAGACTGCCCCTCCTATCATAGCCCCAGAAGTCCAGGAGGACAGAGCAGGTTAGGGAGCAGGACTGGGGCGTTCTCCACAGCTGGCTTCTCAAGGCCACTCGGGTTCTCTGCTCCCTGCCACTCCAGCTGTGGTCAAACAACTCTAGATGTGGCTCATGCCACAGCTGTAGAAGTGACAGCATGCAGCGTCTGCATATCTCAGACAGCATGCACATGATGCTATGCTTCAGGCTTGCAAAAAGCAAGAGCTGTGGAAGCTTGGCAGACTCCACTCAGATTCAAAGAATGTCACTGAAAGCTCGAGTGCCCAGGCCAAAATTTGTCCTAGGGCCAGAGCCACTGCAGAGATCCCTGCCTTTGTGGACCAAGAATGTGGCATTGCTGCTCATGAGGGGAGTCCCCACCAGCATAATGCCTAATAGAGCCATGCAAGTGAGACCACGATAGAGTCCCCAGTATGGCCATACCTAGTGGAACTGTGGGGCCAGGACCCCGACCTGGACCCCAGGACAATGAAGTCACCAGCAGCCTGTAAGTGATACCTGAAAAAGCTTCAAGTATCTGACTACAGCCCCATATGAATAACCATATGGGCTGCACCCCAATGTGGGCCCAACCCTCGCCCCAATGTATCAAAGAGGTGGCACCTGTGAAGACAAAAGAAATTATTCTCCAACTTTTTTTTTTTTTTGAGTTTCACTATGTCATCCTTGGTAGAGTGCTATGGCATCATAGCTCACAGCAACCTCAAACTCCTGGGCTTAAGTGATTCTCTTGCCTCAGTAGCTGGGACTATAGGCGCCCACCACAACACCCCATTTTGTTGTTGTTATTATTGTTTAGCAGGCCCGGGCTGGGGTTGAACCCACCAGCCCCAGTGCATGTGGCCAGCACCCTAACCACTGAACTATAGGCATTGATTCTATTCTCCAGCTTTAAAATACAAAGTTTTTGTCCATAAAACTACCTCAGCCCATTTTCAAGATCCCTAAATCATTAAAAATAATTCAGCAGTAGAATATAAAAAAAGAATTTAACATCTGTTTTGCTGTGTTTCAAATTTACTTGGGACCTGTTAATCCTTTCTCCTTTCCAAATCTCCTTTTAGAACACGAATGTCTGTCTTATGTGTGTACCACTGTTATATCTTGGAAATAGGTAACTTGGGACTTTGGGACCATGGGTATCAAGTACACATATCCATAAGAAAAACATGAGTTTGGGGAACCAGGATGAATGTTATGATTTGAATACATCCTCTCTAAAACTTGTGCTGAAAGTTAATCTCCAGTGTAGCAGTATTGATAGGGGACTTTTTTGGTTTTGGTTTTTAGGTTTTTTTGAGACAGAGTCCCACTCTGTCACCCTGGGGTTGAGTGCTATGGCATCATCATTGCTCACAGCAACCTCAGTCTCTTGGGCTCAGGTAATCCTCATGCCTCAGCTTCCCAAGTAGCTGGGACCACAGGCACCTGCCACAATGCCCAGCTAAGTTTTTCTATTTTTAGTACAGATGGGGTCTCACTCTTGCTTGGGCTGATCTTGAACTCCTGAGTTCAAGTGATCTACCCATCTCGGCCTCCCAAAGGGCTTGGATTGCAGGTCTGAGCCACCAGGACTGGCATGGCTGACAGGGGACCTTTAAGAGGTGATTGGGTTAAAGGGGCTGTGCCTTCATGAACGGATTAACCCATTCATGGATTAATCAGCTAATGGGTTATCACAGGAATGGAACTGAAGAAGAGAGACCTGAGCTGGCATGGTCATTCCCCTCACCATGTGATGCCCAGTACCCTGTCCAGCCTGAGGACTGTGCTGAGTCCTCACCAGCAAGAAGGCCTTCACCACATGTACCCCCTTGACCTTGGATGTCTCAGCCTCCATACTGTAAGAAATAAATTCCTTTCTTTATGCATTACCTACTTTCAGGTATTCTGTTATAAGCCACAGTAAATAGAATAAGATAATCTCTCTTTGTAAAAATTAAGAATTCTACTCTTGAGTAAAAGTGGAAATTCCAACCAATTACAGAATTTATGAAAAATAATTATAATGAAAAAAATACATGTCAGAATCTATGAGATACACCAAAAGCAGTGACCAGATGAAAATTCATAGCCTAAATACTTATATCACTAAATATCAAAGAATTAAAATAAATTTTCTAATGAAAAAGGGGAAGGGGAATGGAGACAAAATAACCCAAGATAAAGCTCGAGGATGAAAATAATAGAGCAGAGAAGGAAAAAAAGTAGGTAAAAATAATAATCAAAATCTTGATTTTTTTGAAAAACTAAACAAAATAAACTATTAGATAATTTAATTGAGATCTAAAAAGTGAAGTAAGGAAAAAAGCACAAATACAAAGAGTGCCCAAAAAATGTATACACATTTCAAGAAGGGGGGAACTGATTATTAAAATTGTTATACTCAGGTCATGTTTGACTTCTGTAAATGCAAAAGACACAAGATACAAAATCATACTGTTGGCACAGATTGAGTATACAGTTTTAGTGTAGTATTTTCCTTTCTTAAAAAGTGTACACTTTTTTAGCATCCTCTGTATATAAACTAAGAAGTGACAGGGAGAAAGGAACTACCAATAAAAAGTCCACTTGCAGGCTGCAATGCAAATAATTGGAAAGCCTAAGGGAAGTTAGCCATATCTTAGGCTCTAATGTTCCAGACTAAAAGAGGCTAAAGAGAAATGGTAACTAAATGTAGCACTGATCATAGACTGACTTCTGCATTGGAGGAAGAAAAATGCTATAAAAGACATAATAGGTCAACCAACAGACAAGATATGGATGGTAAATTACATCAAAAGTATATTTATAGGGCAGCGCTGTGGCTCAAAGGAGTAGGGCGCTAGCCCCATATGCCAGAGGTGGCGGGTTCAAAACCAGCTCCAGCCAAAAAAAAAAAAAAAAAAAGGTATATTTATAAAGTCAATTGTACCATGGTTATGGAAGAGAGTATCTTCATTCTTCAAGAGCCATAGTATATTTAAACTATTCTAAAATGGTTCAGGAGAAAACATGTACGTTTGCCAACACATATACAGAAAGAGCAACAGAGAGCAAGTATAAGGGCCAGTAGGCACACTTGAGTGACAGGGAATAGTTAAGAAGGTAAAGCAAATGGAATAAACTATTCACAATGGTGAATCTGAGTAAGGAGTGTCCTATTGCTCTTTCTAATACTTTATTTCCACAACTTTTTGTTATATTTGAAATATTTCCAAATAAAAAGTTTTCCACACGACATTAAAAAATTAGAATTATGTTACTGATCCTATGCCTGTTAATAAGAATTTCATTTCTAAGGGAAAAGTCATGCCTTTAAAATATTAAATGGTCTGAAACTTTATGTGGGAGATAAGAAAGAGCTTACCCATGAACAGGAACACAAAAAAGCTTTTCCATATTAGAAACAGTCGCTTTCACAATATCTGGTGTTCTGGTAGAGCCCAACTCAGTCACCACAAGTGATTTGGTAATATCTAAAAAAAAAAAGTTTTAAATAATCACTAGATTTTAATAATTAGATTCTAGGAAAAATTAACACTTGTAATTCAGAATAAAATAGAACATTTGAATCTCTAGTTTTATCAAATTTGTTTCCAAGTTTTTTATATATCAAAATACTGATAAATATATTGTCCCCAAGTGATCTTCTTTATGAGCATCAAAGAGTCCAACTTCAGAGACCATTCATTCCCCTAAGAGTGAAGAATATAACCAATTTGCCTGCATATATGATATTTTAGTAGGAAATAAGCAACTATCTTAAGTATAAAAGGAGAACCTGAAACTTAAATTCAATAAAAAATTATATATAGATTTGAAATTTCTAAAAAAGTTACTGTTACAGGATAGGTCTTTTTTATTTATTTATTTTATTAAATCATAGCAGTGTACTAATTAATACTATCATGGGGTTCAGTGTACTGTTTCTGTATACAATTTGAAATACTTTCATCCAACTGGTTAACATAGCCTTCATGTCTTTTTCTTAGTTATTGTGTTAAGACATTTATACTCACATGTACCCTTATAGGATGAACCAGATCTTATCTGACTCTCAGTTACTAACTTGAGTGATTTTTCCAGGGCTTTCTACTCTCCTCTGACCTGACTGAAGCTCAGGACACACTCAACGCTCCAGGCATTTCATCTCCTCCCACCAGCTGAGATGTGTGATCACCAGCTGTGTTTATTCCTAGAATTATTAACATAGTTGTGCTACTTCTAACAGTTGCATAATTTAATATTATGTAAAGTGAAGAATGACTATACAAAGGCAAGAATTATTTCTATGAAAGCCAACACACTCCTTCAGTGCTAAGATGCACATTTTTTCACATAAACATCCCCCAAATTAGGATGCATCATCCAATTCTTGGAGTCTTCAGAGTTCAATAAAAAGAAAATGAAGACCGGGCTCCATGGCTCACACCTATAATCCTACACTCTGGGAGGTCGAGGCAGGGGATTGCTTGAGCTCAGGAGTTTGAGATCAGCCTGAGCAAGAGCGAGATCCCATCTCTACTAAAATAGAAAAATTAGCTGGGTGCTGTTGCAGGCACCTGTAATCCCAGCTACGTGGGAAGCTGAGGCATGAGGATCACTTGAGCCCAAGAGCCCTGGCACTCAACCCTAGGATGACAAAGTGAGACTCTGTTTCAAAAAAAAAAAAAAACAAAAGAAAAGAAAATGAACTAAAAATCTGCTCTCAGATTGAGTGTTTTTTTGAAGGGAAAATATAAAAGTCTAGAAAGATTCTGTACTCAGGTTGTTTTGCAAGCATATTTGAGGTTCTTGCTGCATTTAAAAGAATCTGAAAGTGTAAACTGTGGAAAATGCTGGATGTGGTTTATGGGAGAAAGGTAACTTAAAACACCAATCAGCTGTGAGAAAGAAAAAAAATACCACTTTTTATCTGAGGAATTTAAGCCCCTTTAAATTATCAGGTGGCCCAAAGAAGCATTTAAAATATAAGAGTAGTCACGTCTCATTCCCCCTTGAGGTAAATAATTACGTGCTGAAGGCACTGGCTATGCGGGCTCTAGACTAACTGACGCCAGGTAGCCATAGAATGCCATGCCCCTTATGGTTCAGCAATGTCCAGGCAATTACTAACCAACATTATTTCTGTAAACCAGTGAATATTCTTGAAGAACAACTTTTGTAATCTCCCCTTCTTCTGATTCATCCTTTTTTTTTTTGCTTTAAAAACTCTTTTGTTTTCTGGAACACTCTCCAAGGCAACCTGGAAATGTATCCCGGGCCTCAGTCGTCAACCTTGGCCCAGATAAACTCTTCATATTAATTTTGCCTAAGTCACTTCCTGTTAGCTCAACAAAGAAAAAGAAGACTAAAAATCCTCATATAGTTCATAAAAAATGAATATGAGAATATGGAGAAAATAAGTGTATTCTATGAATCAGTTAACATTTGGAGAACCTCACAGGTGAAATTAAAAAAAAAACCAATCAAATAAGAGTACACAATATCAAATGCAAAAAAAATTGGAGACTAAACCTACCTTCTTGTTTTGAAACCTGTAGTTTTTGACCATTACAAAAGGCACCTTTTCCTTTCTTGGCAGTGTACATCTTATCTTCCACACAGCTATACACAACTCCAAATTCCACCTGCAGAAGGAAAACAAGTTTCCTTTTCCAAACCTGAGTGTTTTTCATCAATAAATCAATACATTTCCAGCCTAATCAGACAAAGAGATCATCAGACCTGAAATCCCCACTCCCCTCTCATCCACATCCAGACTTTGGTAAGAGCTCCCACCTTACCTGTCTCCCTCCTGCCCTAGATGAAGACAGATCTTTCCTATTTTCTAAGGTGAACCCTTTCTCCTGTGTTATGATTCCAACCCTGTCATACAGTCTCTGAAATAATGTTCCATCAATGATCTCTCCCGCCTTGGATTTCTCTTCTCTGGCCTTCTCCCCAAGTTTCTCCCTCCCTTACAAAACCTTCACAGTGTTGTCTATTTTTCCCTTCACTGGCCGAGTAGTGCCCACTTCCATGTCCTGTTCTCCTCTTCACACACTACACTTTGGCTTCTGCCCTCATCACTCATTCTTCTGAAACTCCCACACAGAGAACATGAGCTCTTCCTGACCACGTGCCTCGTCTGAAGAATTGGGGACAGTGGCTGTCCATTGTCAACACTTCTTCAGCCCTTAATTCAGTACCTCCATGTTTCTGGCATCACTCTGGGTTCTCTCTTGCCAGTTAATCCATGTCAGAGTCATTATGTTAGAACCTTCTTCTCTGCCCCACCTTATTAGCTATGTACCTTGGGATTTTTTCCTTCTTCCATTTCCCTCTCAGTTCTCCATGTTCTTACAGGTTGGCCCATTCCAGCCCACAAAACCCACTACCACTTAAATGTTGGCTCCTGTCAACCCTCCATCACAGGTAACAACCTATGCTTCAGAAGCTACTCCTATAGAAGCCTCTATCAGAGAGATCAAAAATCACTCATTACCTGCTCACCTCCCATTCCTTCTATGCAAATTGCTTCTTTTAAATATTACCTTTAAAATGCTTCCTGATTTGGGCATTTCCTTGGCTATTCTCACTGCCTCACCTTAGCTGAGAATCACCCACTCCCTAATATAATCTGTACATTGCTGGTATTATCGGTCACTTGTCACTTTGAAACCTTTATTAATTTCTTATTAAGGAAAAAACAATGCCTCACAGTAAGGCCACATCTTGCTGTGTCCCATATACATCATGCTCTTCAATTTCTCCAACCTCTTCTTTGTGGTTAAAACTGCTTTCTTTTCTTTTTGATCTAGCAAATCCCGAATTTTCTAAATGTCAGCTCACATGATCAACTTCTAAGACCCCTTCCACTGGGGATCTTAGATTTCCCCAATTCACTCTTTGCAGAATTGGCTCCACCTCACATGGTTCCATCACACTGTCGATATTTGTAACTCATCACTGAACTGTGAGTTCAACAACAAGGACAGCACCTAGCCCAGGGAACATTATATACAAAATGCTCACTTAGCTCCTTTTGAACATTTCACTGATTTATACAACCCTGTGGCTAAGCTTTTATTTGTATTAATTTGTGTTTTGATTTTTAGAACACTGTTAGCTGTTTTGTGTACATGTTGATCAAACATATCTCAAGTTCACTGAAGACAGGTAGTGGGATGTTAACAGACGTTCATCCCTGTTGGACCAACCAAATAGCCAAACAGCGAGGAAATGCAATAGCTATAAATGCTGCTCTAGTGGGCTTTAGACATGAGTGATCAAAATGTTCAGGTTCCTAAATGTACTCTGCATTTTCCAACCATGTTGTGGACCCATTACTATCTGGTCTCTGAATATCTGTCTTCACTAACATCTATTCACCCGTTCCTTTCTCAAATCCCACCTTTCACTTAGGAGGCACTTTAGATCACCATATATACAATGGTGACTAAATACTGAATTGTGTCTCAGTAACCTGTGTATATTTTCTCCTTATACCTTCTGATTTTCAGGAAACATTACATTTTTTTTCACTAAATAAGTACTAAGAGAAATTTAATAGTCCTTCCTGTAGCTTATATTCAATATAATGCAGTTATATAAATTAAACATAGAGACATTCTAAATTTATTATGAAGACACATTTTTTTTCTTGCTCAGAAAATTAGAGCAAGGCATTCTACCAACCATACATTTAAAACAACATACCTTTTTATTTACAGTAAAGCCGATTGAAACAGCTACAAAAGGAAATCTTAAAAGAAAGACAAAAAACCAAATTTACCAAGATAGAACTTATTTTTAATAAAATTAATAAAATTCATCTATTCATAAGGTAAATTCTTATAAAATATTTCATGTAAAAAGTCTCATCCTTCCTCCTCCAAAAATGTTAGACATACAATAGTGGGTATAGTATGCAATCCTTTATGTAAATGGAAGGAAGAAAAGAGAGGGATTTTATATATATGAATATACACATACAGGATGCTTCCATAGGCATGAAACATCCCTCCCTAAAAGGATTTACAAGAAACTGATAACAAGGGCCATGCCCGAGATGGATCCCGGGAAACCAGGACAGAAATGGGGAAAGCATCTTATACTGCATGTCATTTTATTCCTTAGGATGCCAAATGCCAGGAATATAGTAACTGTATGAACACATTTTTCAAAACATAAAAATAATTTCCTTTACCTTTTAAATTGATTGCGGTTAAAAAGAAAACATTACTTGTGGTTATTTCCCCCATAGCCTGAACCACGGATAGACACAACTCCTATCCTGTACAGAATAAATTGTAGTTACTTATCTCTGTTCCAACTCCAAACCTGGAGCTTGGCATCTAAAAAGTAAACTGGCCGCATGCCAATATGAACACAGAAGTGTAATTTCTGTCTCAAAAAAGAATCCAGATGAAGAAAATAGATAAAACAGTTTCCATGCAACTACTGAAAATAAAAACTTGAATACTTGAGTTTTTATTTTAACAAAAACAGGATCATACTGTACACACAGCGGTATACAATATTCTCATATTACAATATAGCATTAGCATCTTTTCAGATTTAAAAGACATAAAATTTCAATCACCTATACACCTTAGCTTTAAAAACAACTCTGTATAACATCAATCTGTAGTCCCACAAAACGAAGCTATTCATTTTAACTCTCACAAGCAATTCCATCAGACTTGCTTCTAGTGATAATACACTGTGTTATAATATACTTACTCTGCCAGGCACTATGCTAAATTGTTATATAAATGTATTAATCATTAACAACAACAAACAATTCCATGAGGCAGGTGCCATCAATATGTACATTTTACAAATTTTTAAAACACTGAGACTTAGGAAAATTAAATAACTCCAAAGGTCACAACAAAAAAAGAACCAAAATGGAAGCTGACATCTATTGATCCTAACGGCCCTGCCCTTTGAACCCTATTTGCTCTTCTGGACTGAATTCATTCTATATCCTGAAGTGACAACACTCCAGGAGTGACCTACTTAGTTTCTTTACCAATATCAAACCATCAGTGTTTTTGCATCCACTTTTATATAATTCCAACAGTAAGGGAAAAAATGGTAAATAGACTGCAAAGGACAAGACAGGATCAGATACTAATCTTTCTTTATCTTCTCTACAAGTGATGAGAAGTCTTCATAATGCTCTACTATTATACTTGATGTGACTCTCTTAAGAATAAAAACAAAAACAAATTACACAAATCTCTTAAGCATATATGTTTCCCAACAGAGTACTCTCCAAGGCCAACCAGTTAATATACAAACAGTGATTACATTAAACACATGGAAACTTACCTATGTACAAAGTTGGTTGTTCCATCAATAGGGTCAATGATCCATGTGGGGTTGTCAGTTAAGATACTTTTTTCCCCAGCTGCCACAGACTCCTCACCAATGAAACTAAAAGCAAGAATAACAGAGCCCTAACTTTACATTGCTTTCAACAATTTCTGAGCCACAACACCTCCTTAGCTACACAGAGTCTATTATAAAACATTCTGTGCCTTGCTTTTCTAATATTGCTCCTTTTCCTTTCCTGTAAAGATTAATGAAAGTGAGGGAGTTTTATTTTATTTCCCACAGAACAAAGTCATGTAAAAATTATAGAATTCAAAATTCCATCGTGTCCTACCAGGGTTAGTAAAGGCACACACATGTGCAGTAGTGAGCACACACACACCCAAAAGGACATTGGGAGCAGATGAGAATTGTTAAGAAAATGTGGTAGGTTTAAAAATAAGCCCACACATTCCCTAATCCACCTCCCTTCAAGAAGTAGAGCCTAATACCCTTTAGCCTTGAGTGTGAGTTAGACTAGAGACGCCTTTCTAACTGATAAGGCAGAAGTGACCGTGTAAAACGTCAGAGTTTCCTTCATAAAATGGCCATGTGGTTTGCATCTTACTCACTCTGTTTCTCCCTCCCTGACCCACCGGCTCCTGGTGCCAGAAGAAGCCAACTGCCATGTTGTGAGCTTGTCTGTGACGAAGGCCCCATGGCAAGGAACTGAAAAAGCTACCAGCTGACAACCCCCGAGAGGCTGAAGTGTGTCAGCAACGACACAAGTGAGCAACCCTTCAGACTTAGTCCAGCTTGAGATGACCTCAGCCCTGATGGTGCTGTGGCCATAACTTCAGGGGAGACCTTGGCCAGAACCAAGCAGCTAAGATACTTCCATGTTCAAAACTCTAGGAAACCATGAGATTACAAATGTTTGCTGTCTGCAGCTTTAAGTTTTTAGGGTAATTGCTCTGCAGTAATATATGACCGATACTGACAACACTAAGTAATCAGTGAGAAAGCAAATCGCCCAAACTACTGTGTGTGTGCATGCCTTGCTAAACCACACTACGCAGTAAGTCTTAGGGAAATTCTAAAGGTGGTGTCTGGTTATTTGGTTTTCTTTTTATTCTTCTTCTTCTTTTTTTTTTTTTTTTTTTTTTTCTGGTAGAGACAGAGCCTCACTTTATCACCCTCTGTAGAGTGCTGTGGCGTCACATAGCTCACAGCGATCTCCAACTCCTGGGCTTAGGCAATCATCTTGCCTCAGCCTCCCAAGTGGCTGGAACTACAGGTGCCCGCCACAACACCCAGCTATTTTTTGTTGTTGTTGCAGTTTGACCCGGGTCGGACTTGAACCTGCCACCCTCGGCATATGGGGCTGGCGCCCCACCCACTGAGCCACAGGTGCTGCCCCATTAGTTTTCTTCTTTCCTATTTCCTTTTTATTTATTTTCCTTTAATTAACACTGAACTGTCTTAATAATCATTTTTATGACTTTCTTTTCTCTCTTTTTCTCTTAGCTGAAAACTTTTTTACTGTATGAAAGTATATTCAGCCACAGCTTTGAACATTTTTTCTTCTCAGTAGCAAAAAAGACCAAGAATTGCCAGTGGCATGCCTAGAAAGAAGGACCAAATGACAAAATGACAGTGATAACACTGTAAAATGATGCCAATGTTGTGCTAAATTTCTGTGTCTATAAAAGAGCCCTGGATTAGGATTTTCTTTCCAACTCACTAAAGCTGCTGCTACTTACCATATTGAGAATTTTACAGTATAGAGAATAAATCAAACTTTTAAATCATGGCAGCAGCAGCCATTTGCCATTGGCTTCCCAGTGTTTGGGATAAACATTCCCCTTACTATGAAGGAACCCTAACATTCCCTCTTCCCACTCCCTGGAAGCTTGAGTTGGACGAGCATCCTAAGCTCAGAAACCACATGCTTCTGTCCAGAATCTGTAATCTTAAAGCTAATAAGATCAAGATAGGAGGCTAATTAAAAGCGTCCAAAACCATCAGAGTCAAGAGTGAGGCCACCAGCAGCTTCCTAAGGCATGGCTCCTAGGCATCCTCCTTCTCCTCCTTCCCTGGGCTCCTGCCTGAGCCACCTGCCACCCTCAACATCAACTGCTTTTCAGCTTAACTAAGTCAGTTTCTGCATCTAGAATAAAATTGTTGTCTAATATTGACTTCGATCTAGGTTTCATTTTTTCATATGAAATTGAATAAAGAAATACCTGTGAGATGGAAACTTTTCCTTTATGGCTGAGATGAGCATTTTTTCAATTTTTTGGTCAGTTGCAGTCACCAAATCAACAGGAGAGCTTTTCAGCATTACGTTCTTTTCATCTTTTAGAGCTTCACGGACCTCCTAGAAGGATTTTTGGGTAAGCAGACAGAAAAGACATAAGCAGTTTTAAATCAAAAAGATAAAATACAGAAATGGTTTAAGGTATTCTATCTAAGCTAGGTGCAGTGGCTCAGGCTAATAGTCTCAGCTACTTGGGAGGCAGCAGCGGGAAGATTGCTTCAGCCCAGGAGTTCCAGACCAGCCTAGGCTACAAAGCAAGACCCCCGTATCACAAAAACAAAATAAACATTCAATCTGTCTTACTTTCAATAGTTGTGACCTGTAAGTACAAAATTATATAATCTTGCATCCTATTTTAGATTCACGATGGTCATTACAAAAAGTTTAATAATATAAAAGTTAAGTATTTACTTAAAGGGTGTAGGAAAAGGAAAATATGCATTTTATTTAACAAGACAATCACTTGTTAAATGTACACACTGTGTACACTCACAGTGTCATGGCTGACAAAGTTTTAGTCCATACCTCTCCAGCTTGTCTTGCTAGGGTTACAGCATAATCCATGCAGTCTTGCCAAGGATCAGCCATCTTCTGAAAATGTTTAACACATATCAGCACAAAGTAGTTACAATTTTCCAATGATAATTATTTCACAATAGCATCCTACTTACCAACAGACTTTCATGTCAAGATTCACCCCCACCTTATTCTAATTTTTTTTTTTTTTTGCAAGTTTTGGCCAGGGCTGGGTTTGAACCTGCCACCTTCAGCATATGGGGTTGGTGCCCTACTCCTTTGAGCCACAGGCACTGCCCCACCCTACCTTCTAGAAGTCGATTTTTCCCCCAATATTTACTCGTAGGCCTGGATTAAAACATTTTTTACCTAAATTACTTCTATTATAAAAATATTTTCATAATAAAAATACTACATGAAATTGTCTCCCAATCTGTCCACAGAATATCACATTAGAAAAACTAATCAAAACACTGGTTTGGAGAATAAATTAGAAAGGATAGAAGAAATGTTTTCTATGATAGGTAACTATTTGGGTAGAAAATAAAGTAAAAATAAGGAATACTGGTAATACCAAAATAAAAGAAGTTTAAAAGAAAGACTAAAAGGCACATGTATTAACTGAGTCCCAAGCATTTAGGTGCTTTCCACATGAGATTTTCTTTTTAATAAGGGTGTAAAGATACAGTACATAAGGCTCAGTCAGAGATAAAAAAATAATTTGCCCAAGAATACACAGACAGATGACTCAGTCAGAATTTGAACGCTATCCTGACTTTAAAGTCCATTGTTCTTTCTATTGTAACAGTCTGAGAAAGAAAGATTATAGACCTCCAGAAATAATAAAAAAGAAAAAGGAAAATTTTTTTCCCTAAGACTTGGGAAGGAGGGAGAAAAAACCATATTTTTGTCCTCTCAACTCTCCAGCTTTTCACTGACTTCTGAAGAATAAAATAACTCTTCACTGGCTTGACCACACTCTAAAATTTCTGCCTGGCACAGTGAAGCTTTTTAAGCCGTCAGACTCAAAATTCTGTGCGGTCATTAAGGAAGCAACCCTAGTTTTGTCTCCTTTATAACTGAGAATAACTGACACAGACATCCCTATCCTGGCTCACATTATAGGAAAGGGCAGGGGAAAGGACCCATTAGTGAGTTTCTGCTGGTTGCTTTTTCTCCTTGATAAAAACATTTTACAAGTTTTTAAAAGAAGCCTACTTTGTAAATTATACAAGTTATCTCCTTAGAGCTCTTCAAGAATTATTTCCAATTATTTTTCCCTTCTTACTCCCATTCCACTCTTCTAGTCTTAACAGAACTAGACTTTTCAGCGGCACCCGCTTCCTGCCATGAAGGTTCTAGCCACTCACACCTATAACTTCCAAAGGCTGTAATACTATGTATCGTTCCTACGAATTCCTCAGGGCCCATTTCAACAGCAACCATGTGTTCTGTGGATTCTCATCCCAGAATTCACGGTTTATTTAATTGCCTGTTTGCTGAGTATCTCTTATATGCTACACACTGCACCATGGACAGGAAAGGCAGGTCCTGTTCACACTAAGGTTCTCATGGAGAGTCATATAGTACTAAAAACATTACTGACTACATGCAAAATCATAAGTGTAATCATAAAAGCTAGGACGAGAAACACAATAAGAAGCACTTCACAGGGGAGCTTTTATCGGCACCTAGCATCAGTCCAAGTTTTCCTGAGGACAGGATTAAAACAAGGTACAAAAGACAAGTGAACAGGCATTACCAAACTCAATTGTAAAATACCTGGTCCCTGAATAACTAAAAGCCTAAACTTGAAAGCTCAGACATCAAGGGAAACAGGCAAAGAAGTAGCAGGGACCATCCTTTCCAGAGCCTTAGAAGATTCAGATGAGAACTTTGAGGAAGCACTTCTTTGTGGCTACTGAACAGAAAGGACTGGGGTGTGGAGCAAAGGGCAGAGAGTGAGTGGAGGAGGATGGTTAGTAGAGTTAGATTCAGGATGCAAAAGACCAGATCAACTAGGGACTGAGGAGGTTGTTAGTGGCAGAGAAGTTAAGAGAATCAAGAGAGATCTGCTTTGGGAAAACACTGGGGAGACTTATTAACCAACTGGATATGGTATCTGAGGAGAGGAAGACTTCAAGGATGCCCAGATTCCCCACTTTGGCAACTGAATGGTGACATCTACTGAAACAAGGAGGAGCAGACAAGAGTGAAGATTGGGATTTGATGGCAGGTTGGAAGATCTAGAGTTTAATTAGCATAGGATGAGGGGACTCTGTGAATTTAAGAAGAGATGTCAATTAGACAGCTGAACACATTCATCTCGTGCTATAAATACATAAGTTATTTGAGTAGGCAGCAACTGCAGTCCTCAGTCTGGAGCTGACCGAGCTGGCACGATTGACAATCATGGAGAAATGTGATCCCACAAAAAAAGCGTGATCTAATACTGAGAGACTGAGTGGGAACACAGCAAGGCCCGCCCATTCAGCCCCTTCTTGGCCCCTCTGTGCGGCATTTCTTCCTCCATGGGATGGGGAGGACCCCTTCTGAAATGGGGGTCTTACGACCTACAATCAGATAAGATAAGTCAGAGAACTTCTTTAAGGTCAGCTCCAAGAAGGAAAGACAGCGAAGGTTCCTGTCTTGGAAGAAAAAAGAGCACGTGAAAGGAGGTCCGGTGAAATAGGGCAGGAAAAGGTCAACAAGACCCTCCGAGGCCTGCAGCACTCAGCATTTTAAGTACAGATTGTAACGAGGGCTACTGGAGTATGAGCCAGTAACTGTGGAAGAAATTCTATTCACATATCCTAACATCACAATGAAAATTTCTCGACGGAAAGGAGCCATAGCCCACTTCATTTCCCAAAGACGTAATGAACGCGTGAAAGTTTCAAACTGTGTCTGTCCTGATCACAGCCTTCTCTGCAGTGGGAGCCACACCACCTCCTCTCAGTCCCCGGTCCCAGCAGCGCCACATTGCACAGGAAGGGCCCTGGGGCGCTGCCCCATCGCTGACGGTGACTCTACCTAACCCTGGGAATCGGCCAGGTCTCTGAGCTTCTTTGGAATGGTAAAAATTAAAAGGAGACACTTTTTCTACATAAGCTTCCACAGGGGTTAGGTCGGCGTGGGCGAAACCGCTACACAAACGTCGGGCTGCTCCAGGTGCTCTACAAGAGCTCCGTATACACCGCGGGGCACGGTCACCCACAGGCGGCCTCAGCCCCAGCGCCGACCCCCGCCCTGCCGACCGCGCTCGGCCGGGAGGGGCCGCTCCGCGCCGCCCAGGCCCACAGCGCCCACAGCGCCCGAGGGGAGGCGAGGGACAGCGGGCAATACCGTCTCACCGCAGCTGCAGCGCGTCCTGCTGGCTTGATGCCCGGCGTTATCCGCTATTCAGTTCTTGGAGGAGAGGGGTTGCCCGGGACAGAAAGCTCCAGCTTCTTAACCCCACCGGTGAGGGGCGTGGTTGCTGTGGGCCCCGCCCACTGATGCAGCCCCGCCCCGGAGGCCCCCTGCGCCGCTTCCCCACGGTGGGGCTAGGTCATGACCTGCTTGGCAGGTAAAACGTGGCCACTTTTTTCTCTCTGTTAGCTATTCTAACTTCCTTTCTCCTGTTTGCCTCTTCTACCCTTTTTTTTTTTTAATTCCTTTACTCTTTATTTTGTCCGTTTCTTCTATGGTTGTCCATTCATTCACGTTTCCCATTTCCCTTTTCTTCTCAGATTCTCTCATTCATTCCATAGTACTATTTTGACAAAGCATCCGTTGGAGTTAGGACTCCAGCTTTTATTGGATAAACTTATACTAGTTTCCCTCCCTTCCTTCCTTCCTTCCTTCCTTCCCTTTCCTTTTCTCTCTCTCTCCCCCTCCCTTCCTATCTCTCTAGGGATAACCAAAAGCAACTACTCCTATTCTCAATATTTCCTTTGTATACCATTTGTTGAGGACTTAACATGCTTCAGGAAATTGTGTTTTTCTATGCATTATTTTATTTAAATGTTGCCACTATGAAGATAGGATTAGCTTCATCATACAGCTGAGGACACTGAGGCTCAGGGTAGTTAAGGGTTTGTTCTCAGGTTACACAGCAAGAACAGAGAATGAAGTTCTGACTCCAAAGTGTTGAGGCTCAGAAAACCATCCTCCAAAATAAATGCCTCAGAAGCAAAAGATTTTGCTAACTTTCTTCCACCATCCTGTCTCTGGTCCCCTCTAACTCCCCCAAGGCCAGCCATAGAAACAAGAATTCCTCCTCCCCGAGGCAGGTCATAGAAAGAAGAACCCCTATTCCCCAAAGCCATCTATAAAACCTAAAATAATTACTTGCCTTTCTGTGTAAAAACTGACCATAAGAAATTATCGAACCCATCTTTTCTAATTGTGGGTCATAATACCCCCCATTCCAAAGAGTGCCCAGTCCAATATTCAGAAGGAAAGAATGCCGCACAGAGAGGCCAAGAAGAATCTAAACGAACAGGCATTTCTGGGTTTCCTCACTCAGTCAATTAGCATTAGATTGTACCCTGTTTGTTCGTCATATCTTCACATGGCTGTCCACACTCTGTTAAATGTAAGCATAAATATGGACTCTCCCCCGTATCTTTGAGTCTCCATTCTGAAGGCTCCCCAATCACATAAACTTGTATTCTTTCCTTCTATTAATCTTCTTTTGGTCAGAAGATTTTCAAGAAACCTTCAGAGGACAACAGGGAAGTTTTCCCTTGGCTACTGCAAAAATCCACATACAGACAATATGTGGCACAATGTGCCTTATATGAGGTACAAGGACTGGTTGGTGGTCCTCAAAATATTTCCTCTACTTGAAAGGCTGGTGGCAGCATGGTACGTATATCTATATCATCATAATCCAGAAAGGATTGCACAGATGTCCTATCCATGACAGGACCATGGAAGTGAGTCCTGGCTTATGAAGTAACTATTTCCCTCAGTTTAATCAAAAGATAAGATATTAAGGCAGTAGACTCTGTCTGTGACCACAATACTCCTCAAAAGCGTCTGTAGCTTTATTCAGTCCATTCAATTTCCCATCCCCTGCCTAAAATGCT